CCGAATTCATTGGTTATTGTTTTATGGATGCACCAATTTAATGTGACAATTTATGGAATATGGCTGCTATCTAATTTTTGTTTTGAAATGGTATATGATTACCATGTTTTGGATTTATGGAATTTATGTCACGGTGCAATTGAATTTTGGAATTGAATTACGATGGAATAGCTCTGATCAAGCTAACTGAGCCTAATGTGACTCTTGAGGGCCCCAAGATGTTTCATTAGGTCGGCTTTCCTTTGCTGTGTGCTTATGGTAAGCTATATGGACTTATTGACTTGGGCTTAAGGATAAAAGCTTCAGAGCCTATCCTTAAGTCGGCTTTCTTTTTGCTATGTGCATAAAGTAAGCTATATGGAAAATAATTTTGGGAACTACTGATGGTGTACCAGAAAAGGGTTTAAACTATGATTTTCAAAAGTTAAACTCTTTTACGAATTTGTGAGATTACTGGACTATGATTTGTACCTATTGACATTTTATGGAAATGTTGGGACACACTGAGCCTAGCTCACCTTTTGAAAATGTTTTCCCCCTTTCAGATATTGTTGGTTAGATACCTCGGTTCGAGCACTTGGAGGATCAACATATCTCTTGAAGTAAATCAGATTGTAATGTTTTTATCTTGCAAGTTGACTTTATTTTGGTGACATGGACCTTATTTTAAATATCGGATTTTATAATGATGACTCTTTTGCTGTTACTGCTCGGTTTATTGTGATTTTGAATTTGAAGATATGTTTTAAATTAAATTATTATTTATTGGTACTATATTTACGAGTTGGATTTTGATAGTATAATTTGTTTATAATTTCATGTTATTTATAATGTGATTTTATATTGATGGAATAACGATTTCGGAAAATGTCTTTAATAATCATAATGTGATCCACTAGACTTAGTCGAAACGCATAGGCCGGGTCTAGGGGGTTACAGTTACTTGTTGAGTCCCTTGATTATTGAAAGTTACAAAATGGTCACCCGACTATTCATTATATTCCAAACTCATCATTTTTCGTTAAAAATTTGACGATATTCTGAGTTGAACGTTAACATATTAACTGTGATATGATAAAATCTGATCCTATGATCTCAAATGACTATTTATATCTCATTCATCATTCTAATGTCTAGATTAGACAACCGCTAATTTTTTAATGAGAAAAGATTACTTTAAAACAAATGAATAGTTGGATGATCATTTTATAACTTTTAATAATTGAAAGACTTAATAAAGTGATATTTTATAGTTAAAATAATAATTTATAATTTTTAATATTCGAGAGATTTAATAAAATAATAATTTATAATCGATGACAATGTGTGTACTTTACGTAAATAACTTTACTTTTCTCGATTCCATGTGGCCCAAGTTTGGGCCGAAAGTAAATATCGGCCTTATTATAATGTCAAGCATCTAAATTTAAATTTTCTTAAAATAAAAGTAAAAATTCTGAACCTCAAAGAGGAAACAGCCATGACCGACCACCACCATCACCACCGATTCGGGCAGCTACGGTCGACATCCCAGATCCTCAAAAGGACCGCCGTGCATTTCACCGCACACCCTTTCGTTTTCATCTTCCTTTCTCTGCTCTTACTCTCCTTCCGTTCTTTAGTTGAATCGGGCTCCTTTGTCCTCAATTCCTTTATCGACCACGATCCTTCTTTCAAATCCCTCCTTACCCGCCTCGACCTCCACCCTTCCCACCCCAACGCTCGTTTCAAGTCAACCAGTCGCAACGCACGCCGTCCTTTCCTCCACCTCACACGCCTCGGCACTCTTGACGACGACTCCTTATCTTCTGAAGATGACCTCGGCCACCGCTCCCCGTTCAGTTCTTTCTCTAATCGCCCCCTCAATGGCACGCCGGTGATCCTTTCAAATTTCGATACTAAATCTGGGTTTTCGAATTTCGTTGCGGATAACGGAATTCTACTGCCGAAGATCGTTCGATACGGAGTCAAATTTAAGACGATTTCGTTTGACTACGAAAACAATGAAGTCGAACGTCAAGAAGAAAGAATTGTTGATTTTCAGTTCGTTTATAAAGGATTTGAATTGGGGCGCCATGACGCTGCTGCGCTGTTCTTTGTTCGGCGGCGTTTGGATGGGTAATTCTAGGGTTTACGGCTATTTATTCTTTGGTTTTTGGTGTTCTTTTCATCACAATTTTTAATGACCTGATTGGAAGATTTGTTTCCTGTTTTGGGGCTTTTTGGGATGGCTCTAAAATGGGTTTGAAAAACTCACTGGGTTCGTTTTGATAAAATGGGCGGTAAGAGACGCCGTGACTCAGCTTATTGGATTATGGTATTTCGGAGAGATTGAGGACCACTACTCGTTCTTTAAGCTTTTTATTAGGTTAAAGTTGATGCCTTTCTCAGTTATGTCACCATGGATTAGGGGTTATGAGAAGGAGATTTCAGGGTTTTTGTTTACGTGGTTTCTTGTGGACACTTTAGTTTCATTTTCTCTCATTAGCTGCTTGGATTGCCATTGTGGATTCAAGGAGAAGCGGGAGAGAAATTATTAAAGAAGGTTGTTATTTGATGTCAACACTTTTGAACCAAGGGATACAGATAAATTGTTATGAAGCTATCTTAAATGGATCATTAGCAAGATTGGTGTTGACTCGTATGGGTGGAGAATTTTTCGCCACAGTTATTCAGGCAGCTCTGGAGGTGTATTTCATGATGGCTTGGTTGATATTTTACTTTGTGGTGAAGTATAGGGAAGCTAATGCAGAGGGTAGGAGGTATGGACGGAGAGAATTGGAGGCTTTGGTTGATGGACTTAGATGAAACTCAATTGAGAAAAAAAAAGGGTGAAAGTTGCTTTTGCTGCTAGATTTTTTATTGTGACACTGATGATAGCTCAAGATAGTGGCGAACATTTTCAAAGGCTTTGAGTCTTCCTAGTTTTGTAGTGCTAGTGATGCAATACTGCCAGATTTTTGTTTAGAAACCTGCCAGTGCATATCATGTACTTTTATCATGAGGGAAAACGATATAATACTTGTGTAAATTTTCCACAACAAAGCTTCTATGTTTATATTCTATTACAATATATTGTCTTTTACTGCCTTGCAGTACTTGTTCCTTGCTGGTATCAATGAGAGTGGTAATGATTTCTCATGCTTCAAGTAGTGTTGATGATGTTATACTTGAACTGTTATATTTTTGGCGTTGGTCTTTTTCGTTCTCTCGTTGTGGATGTGTGATGATATGAATTTCTGTATTTGCACTAGGAGTCTTTTCTTGTTTTTACCCGATGGAGAAATTTGTTTGAGATGTTGACTGCCATGTATTCTATTGCAGTCCATTAAATTATCAATGGGAAAAAAAGTAAAGGCCTTAAGTTTCGAATGCTGGATACTGTTCTTAGTGTGCTTACTGCTGTCTTACACGGTTAACTTGGCGAGCTTTAGGAATGAAACCATCATTAGACTGACCAAAGGTTATTTATGAGACATGCGATGAGTGTTAAGTTGGTTGTTGAAGAGAAGGAAATATGAGTTTAATCATGAAAGCGAGCACAAGGGCATTCATAAGTGTCATATAAATTTACTTTAGCTGTGAGTTTGCCATTTTATTGGAGTGAAGAAAAGTAGTTGTGGAAATTGAGTGATAGGCATGCTGATGTCTGTGTTTTATGCGGTAATGGGCATATTATTGGGATGTGCTATGGTAGCAAATAGTAGATGATCATGGTATCAGGACAGAAAATCTGAGCTTGAAATGTTCTGCGTTTTGACATGGGGGAAATGAGATGTAAGACAAAAGCTTGCTGCATCTAGATTAACTTAAGTCAAGATTCTGCATTTTTTGAAGAAAATAACTGTGTTAATTATTTCTTGAAGTTTATGGAAAGTACTTGTAATGGTCAGTAATTTGCGAAGTGTGTCATAAGTTTAACAAGTTGGCCTGGTGAATTTATATTTAACTATATCTGGGTTTAGGGATAATCACTAAAATGATGCAAGACAACTAATTATGATCATTATCCTCAAACTGCATCTTGTCATTCCAATGTTTGTTGTTATTGGGGAGCAGCATGAATGAACTGGTCGCTTTGCCAATTTAGTTAAAAGAAGATTTTAGGTTTTGGCCTTTGAAATACATTTACTCCATGTGGAGCATAAGGGCAAGTTATGTCATGCCCCAAACTTGTTTACTGCATACTTATGGAATCATGCCTTTACTTCCCTTTCTCTTTTCTGTGGTGTTTGTTGTTAAGAGAAACTTTCAACGTCTAAAAATTTTCAAGAGCTCAGTTTGATAATTTATTTTAGACAAACCATGAATGTCGGATTCTTGTTCATAAGTTGCTGCTTTTTGTGTGCATATGCTAGATGAAGCATGCTTTACTTTTACAGGTAAACATGATGGACACTGCCCTTGAGATGGGCTCGAGGAGATTAAAGAACTTGCATCTCTGTTGTCCGGGGCAGTTTTCTTTGATAGTTATATAAACCTAACCTTACAGCTCTATATACCACACTATATTGTTCTGACACTTCATTTTGTTTGAAACACTCATGTTCGACATTTATGTCTAGAACATATTTGGACACGCAGATAGAGGTAGGATTTTTTAAGTCCCGCAAATAAAAACTTGGAAAAAATTGAACATACATGTGTTGGACATTTATATATGATGCTTACACTCGAATCCTAGTAACATGTTTTATTCCTTAATTTGCTGATATTATTGTTTTAAGTTTCCATGTAAAGTGAAGGCTAGAACTGGTAGGGTCTAGTCTGGCTTCTTGTTCAGTGTTGATCCGTTTGTTTAACTGGGTTCTATTATGGCACAAGAGCTTTCACTTGGCTTAGCGGTTGAGGCCCTTAGAAACAGAACTTACAATAGTGCAAACTGGAAGTCAATATTTTCCAATGGAGTTACATTTATAGACTACAGAATTTATGTTACAAAAACCTTGTGAATCAATCAATATTGCAGCATAAATTCATTTAGACACCAGGGAGAGTATTCAATCTTGAGGAGAGCTAACACAGAGAACAACATCGATGAAGAGGCTTTCATCACAAGGAATGCATAGTTTGGAGTCGGTGGTAAAATCATATTCATCCCGAGCTCGATCTAGCAATGCCTTGAACAGTGGGTGCTTGAGCATGTTGAGTTTAATAACAAATCTCTTATGGTTTTCACCAACATATACTACTAAGTGACCTTTGGGTACATCGCTTGGGATTGAGCCCTCTTCATGCATTGAACTAGGAGACTTCGCCCACTCGGAACAGAATTCACAACTGCTACAAGGTATGACTTTACTCCCCATCTTCCTCCATTTGGTAATGCATGCCTTTACAAATTTCCCCTTCATTGCCTAGTAATATGCCAACATAGACAGAAGGAAAAAAGAACTTGCATATATTCTGAAATGCAGATTTGGGTGGCGGAACTGAAAGAAATAGAGTTAGAGACAGTGTCATTAAATTGTTGACATAATGGTAGCTAAGGCCTAAGAGGCTTGGTAGATTTTTATGTATGAATATTCAGATGGTATATCTTTCCTTTTATAGCAGTTGGTGTCTTGATACGAAAGTGTACGAACATGCATCTCATGATATGAAAAGGCTATACGAAATTAATGCTTCTTAGGGCAGACATGAACCTAGAGAGAGGGAGAGAGGATGGTGCTTGATCGGTGATATTTCGAAGTTAAGACCCCACGATTTGAGAGTGGGAAAGAGAAGATATGAAAGAGGGATGGGATGAGCTTCTTTGGCAAAGTGCGATTCCCCCACTTACAGTTTCTTGATGTACATGCAACTGTTAGTAGTAGTAGTAGCTAGCATTAATGGATATCGTAAAATATTAAATATACATGATGCTTGCCTCAAACCCAGACTTCTAAGATACTAGAAAGGAGCTTTCCATTGATTCATATAATCATATCTAATGATAGCCTCTGTTGCAACATAGGAAATATAATACATGAACTATTTATACTCTCTTCTAGGCTATTATGTTCAAACACTATCAATCATTTGACAATAAACATTCATATATTCCTGCATATGCGGTGTTCGAACTTGGGACCTAAATTATTGAGGTCACGTAGTTTGTGTTATCTGTCTGCACCCTTGTACGTATGTGCATGCATCTAATGGTTAATTTTTGTAATATACATATAATTTGCATAGGTAAACAGCTAGTTTGAGTGGACTTAAACAGGTATGGCGGTCACACTCGTATGAATCAATGATTTGATTGGACATCTCTTCTCTGTTGATCCTCAGTTTCTTTTCAGGCCTCGGCTCCTCCTGCTTTCTTGTTCTCTTATCTGGCCTGGTCAGTCTCCATTTGCCTTCTCTTTTAATATATTATTATTTATATGGTAAGCCATTTTAAAATTCATCTTCAACTAGCTTCCATGGCTTCTCCCATGCTTCCAAATTGGAAGCAACAAGTTGAAAAGATTTTTCTTTTCAACGCTTCTTTTGTTTTCCCTTTCTCTTCAGGTTTTTTACTTCTCTTGATAGTATATCGCCCAATTGCAGATGAGATGTATGGGTTAATAACCAACTCAAATCACACAATAAAAGTAGTATTACAAAAGGTTTTTATTGGTAAACTGCAGTGATTAAATTATCACTATTTTATTTACATTTTGAAACGATTACTAATGTTAACAACGATTTATAACAAATCGATTACTTGATATTAACAATTGTTATTAGGCGAGACATGTAGTGAGTGTAGCTTAAAGATGTGACATGTTAATAAAAACAATTAATTTTTAATTACATTTTAGATAAAATATCAATTTAATCTTTAAAATTTAGATTTTCCCCCGAAGAAAGTCTCGTTAACAATCTCTTTATACTTGATAGATGTCGAAACATCCCATCAGATAGCGGAATGAGGAAAAGAGTCTAGATTATTACTTTTATATATATTAAAAATGGACAGTTCGGTACACCAAATACAAAAACATCCATCACCAAATACAAGAGGAAAATGACGTAATATTGTTATAAGCACCATCGGTTTTCATTGTGGATTGTCATTTATCACTCTCACTAATCACCATCGGTTTCTATCACCGCAGACCACTATCACTCTCACTAATCACCATCGGTTTCCATCACCGCTGACCACGGTCGCTAACAACCGTTGAATCTTAGAATTTTCAATTCACTTATTTTATTTTCGTAAATGTGAATGAAATATCCGTTTCATAAAAAAACAGCTCTTAATTCTACAAACTTGTTCCAGACTCCTTCCAACTCTTTAACCCGTGCTTGGCTTGGCCGAAGGCTCTTGATGATGGTTGCTAAAGATGCATGCTTTTGGGCCACCTATTGGGGGTATCGGCGATTGTGTTCAAAGTTGAAATGCCTAACTAGAGACCACCTTCAACAGTGCAGTAAAAATTAAAAGTTTAATGACCATCTTAATGTAAGAGGAGAACATTATGATTATAACCGTAAATAAGACGAGATATATTGTGGGTTACTTAAGATTGATTCGATCAAAGTTTGATAAATACTCGATTCAAGCTCGATTCGAATTTTTAACGAGCTAACACAAGCTGCTTAATATTTGAATTGAAAAGCTTGCGAGATGTTCGAAAATATAATATATCAATATTTTATATTTTTAAAAATAAATTATTAATAATATTAATATTTATGTGTTAATTTAAAAAAAAAAAGATAATACAAAGTTTTCATGTATTTAATGTTTAGGTTTGATTTTGAGTTCGAGATTTCAATCAAGTCAAGTTTATTTTTTTTTCATTTTAAACTTTTCGAGCTTCAGTTCATGATTTAGAGTTCGAGTCGAACTTGAAGATTTTAGACTTGGATTTTCTGAGTCGAGTTGAGCTTCATTTTAATTTTCGAGTTGAGTTCAACGATACTCGAGCTCAACTCAACTTGTTTATAACCTTAATTACGACATTACGGGCATGCTGTTTCATTACGGAAGGTTTGATCAGTAATATGTTGATGAGGCTTGTTACACATCCTACAATACAGCATTATATGTTCCCTGCAACACGGTGAGCAATTTTTGAAGATTGAAAATGGAAGCTTTTCACATTAGATATACTCTTTTTATATATATATATATAAGAATTGGAACCTACATTTACACATCCTGCAATACAACATTATACTTTTTTCACGTCTTCCTTTATCATTAAACGAGAATTACATCGAATATGGACATGGAACTTACAACAAATTCTTTTATGGATTTCATGTCAAAACCGCGAATTCCTATACATTTTGGACCATTTAGTGTTCTATAATGAGTTTATAAGTTATACAAGTTTGTAGAGAACAGGGTATTTTTCGTGCTTAGAAAGTAATAAATGAGTAAAATGAAAATTTTGAGATCAAACACTCGCCAATAAGGAAACTTCACATGAATTCAAAAGTCAAATTGATATTTTATCTAAATTATATCAGTATTATATCTAAAATTTAGGATTATTCTATGTAAAGTTTAGGGGTCAAATTAAAATTTAATTATTTTTATTAACGTAACACACCAGCCTGGAACAACTTTTTCAAAATGAGTTGCAAAATAAGACAAACCAAAAAAACCCAAAACCAAAAGGGATCACCAGTGTGTTTTACCTAAAATTAAATTGCTAACATAACCCTATAACATATTTGGTTTCTTTTTAGGATAAATTACACATTTAGTAACTCAACTTACAATTCTAGTATGTTTTAATACCTAAACTTTCAAAAAAATAAAAATCAAAGTGCGTAGTTTACCCTTCTTTTTAATATGATTTTTGTATATTTACCTACCGAACTGATGTCACTAAGTTTGGTGACACCAAACTCAAATAAGAATATAATAATTGCACTACTAAGAATTTGATAATTATATAGAATAAAACAAGTGAATACGAGACAACATAGGTTGATTCAGTTGATTACTTATTAACAGTTTAGTTCATATCAAAGTGAATACTAACATATAAAACGAACACACACACACACATATATATACGTACTAACTGGAACCTACATTTCCACTTATAGAGCCTAAAAACAAGGTAAAATAAGATGAGAGCATTATCATGAATTCATGTGACAGGGGAACAAATATTATATGTGGAATACCAAGCTTAACAATGAAAGGCAAGTGTATCACATATTGCATTTTGCGAGATAAGCCATAAAGACTGACCCAAAAATGCAGTAAAGAGGCAACAATTTATGATGGAATCGCAGAAAGCACTTCTAAACAATTTGAAAAGGATTACGACAATCATATATGCTTTCGGTACAACTTTTTATTTAGCCTTCTTTCCTTGTTTAGGTACCAAAATTTGGCTTTAAACCACGCAGTGAAGCATCAAAACTACCCTAAGAAATTGTAGTCGAGAAAATGAAAGAGTGAATCTAAAAGTTCTACATAACACTTTTGCAAACTATCATATCTTTAGGATTCCTTGATCACCTACAGAGTCGCCAGTGGTTGCCAAGCCTCGAATCTTCACGTCATAATAGACCTCTTCAACTCGTTTTAGGTCATACTTCATACCTACAGTAATGAGAAGGCATTAAAAAACACTTGGTCTATGACGAGGTTGCTTGAAACACCAGATTGTCTGAGCACAATAAGAAGATTAAGCTTACTATCAAACTTCTTGCGCAGGAAATCATTTCGGAGATTAAGCATCCGGAAGGCTGCATGAAGATCTGTCAAGAACCTCAACACCTTTCTTGGACAATCATAGTCACCAGCAGTCACTTGGTTCACCACATATCTTGGCTGGAAAAGTGAAATAGAATGCGTGTTGTGTTACCACATTTTCCAATTACTTTAATGGTAGAAAATTAGCAAATCATCAACTACATCATCAGAGAGCTGCATGCCCCTAGTTATTCAATTTACATAATGTTTCATTTGGAATTATCACATACATTCTAACAAGTTATCTGTAATTTGTAGTTTCACCAAACAGCAAAAACCAGACTAAAAAAACATGTGAAGAATGGAGCAGCAAGAGAGCATTTTCCAGTTCAGAAAGCCTGAGACAGCAAGTTGCTGACATAGTTCTTACCATTTCATTTGACATGAAACAAATACCTGCATGATGGGAAAAAACATTCCCAGATCAGTAAACTCAATTGTCAGAAAAATAATAACCCCTAAATTCAGATGCCAAGTAAATGTCATGTCACTTTTCTTGTACCCACACACAAACCAAAGAATAACAGTAGCCGGGAAAAATGAAGAACCAAGAATGCTTCATTTGGTTCATCAATAAATGGAACCAGGATTGAATACTTTCAGAATATTTTAAGACAACTATACAAGTATCAATCACTATTACAAGACAGACAATAAGGCATTAGAATGTAAAAGGAATTTCATCCTGCCTGCTTATGTGGTCAACCACATTTACTTTCAATTCAATAATTGAATACTTGAGGCTAGTTAAAGAAAACTGAAGCTTTGAAAGATTAAAAAACTATAGATCAAATACCCATTAGATGATAAAATTAAGCAACATCTTCGAAGAAAGAAACTTTCAACTCTTACCAACAAGATAATCCTCCAGATCTAAAGCAAAATCTGAATCATTTACTGCCAAAACAACCAATTTTCTCAATTAAATTCATTGGAAAAGACAGAAATTAATCGCAAACAGAAGAAATATTCATTATCGAAACATACATCCCAGTGTTACCGCAGCTTCAGTATGCATAAGCAGATTTCCTGTTTCCAACCAATGCATAAAGGCAAGCAAAGAAACTACCATTTGAGTTTCACTCCTCCAATCCCCATGATATCTAAACACACCAAATACCATTAGAGGAAAAAGTACACATATCAAAAAACATTCTGCATAAAATAAAACTTGAAATTCACCAAAATCTTAAGCCAATCTCACCTGTAATACTGTCCAGGGCATTCCCTAACAACTTCAGCAAGTTTGTTGTAAAGATCCTTTAGAACATTAATCTGAGCATTTGCCTTCTCTAAAACCTCTATTATACATAAAATTGCAAATCAATATTAAAAAATTCATATAAATTAAAAAAAAAAAAAGAGAATAGAAAGAAGAATGTTACGGGGAATTGGCTTAGATTGGTGAACGAGGAGGAGGCTAGCTTGCATGAGTCGAGTGGCCGACTCAACTTCCATAACGACGGCGCGAATGCGTTCACGTAAGCTACCAGAATCTTCTAGCTGGACTCGGAACTTCTCGAACTGCTTCTCCAGAGAAGGAGAGGTTACCGGCGATTCGGAATCCCCGCCGGCCATGGTAGTGGAAAAGAGAGCAAGGCAGAGTGGGGAACGAGAGGGAAGGCTTCTAGAAACGGGCGAAGGAAGCGAACGAGAATAGGGAATGAAGGGAACAAAGTGAAGAATTGAGGGGTTAGGGTTTAAGGAGTAGCGAGAGAGAGTGAGGCAGTGAGTATTCCGAAACGCTGATTTCATAATTTGTAATTGCCCCCTATTTTTTCTTTATGCCTTTTTACCTGTGCGGTGCGGTGTAGGTTTCGTTGGTTAAATATTGTGGACGAAAAAGAAAATTAAAAAAATAAGAATATATAAAAATTATTTTTAAATTTAATAATTTGTTATAATATACGTAGAACTCATCATAACAACGTAACAGATTTTATATAACTATAAAAATAACTTAAATCTTAAAATAATTTTTAAATATTCTTATTTTTTAATTTTTTTCTTAAAAGATTACCATTATGAACTTTTATTCAGAGTTTTTATGTTGTTTCATTTAGGGTGATTTCCATCAGGAAAAATATTATTAATAATAGTGTTTTCCTTAAAATCACGGAAATTAATATTTTAGATAATTGTTAATTTTAATTAAATTAAGTAAGATTATATTTGAAATAATGAGTTTTATTATATTAGTTTATTTATTGTATGTTTTTAACTAGATAATTAATTATTGTGTAATAAATTTATTAAATAGTTTTAGTTAATATTTAGATAATATTATGCATGTTTATAATGTTAAAATATTTTATTGATATGTTATTTATAATGCATATAATATTATTTTTAAATATATTATATTTTTTGATTAATTAAATATATAACTCATAGTATATATATATATATTATTTTGAAAGTAGGATGATGCATTCAGTTGTCAAAGAAATCATCAATGCATGTTGAATAAATATATTTATGACAATTATAAATAAAATATAATAGTGATCTACGACGACCAATGACAGGAATGGGGTTAGAAAATTAATTTAAAGGTGTCAAATGAAAAAATATTTTGGAATGTCAAATTTAAAAATTATATGAAGAATTTTTTAAAAGTGGATGAAAATAAATAATGATTGTCCATTTATTTTTAAGGATTACAATATTTTCAAAAAATAAATTGATTTGTTTTAAAAAATATTTTTATTTAATTTATTAAAATATTTTTAATTTTTTTTTTCTCATTTTAGCCTAGTTTTGTCACTGACCAGTGATAGACTACAGAGCAAGAACATGAACATTTGAAATAACTTCACACAAAAATAGATTAGTCCGATGTCTCCAAACACTAAATACAAAGGAGAAAAACTTAAAGAATATAAAAAGTGAATGAAAATAACTAATTTCCCCTTAATTAGAAAACCCAAAAAAGAAATTAAAGGTCTAAAAATATCCATAACCGTCATATTGAAGAAAAACTAAAAATAAAAATATATTAAAATATAACTTAAAACTAATAAAATCATACAATAATCAGCAGAAAGATGATCAGGAGCTGGGCGTTGGTAAGATCCACGTTAACTCAACAAAGAAGCCAGCCGGGCAAAATTGCTTGCATGATTTATTCTTCGTTCATACAGTTTTGTTGAATTTATTTTTTATCTGGCATGAATATTATAGTTACTCGTCAGAAGATATTAAAAACATGAGTTTTTACCGAAATATCACCTTCATACCTATTAATTATCTATCCGTGTCTTTGTGTGTTCTGTCCGAGCTGGCACCACGTAAGGGAAGGCACGGATCATCATCCGCACCTTCGCTGAACCATTGACATATACGGAAGGCACGGATTATAAAGCGCGCTTTCTATGGGAAAAGTTGACATGGTGCCACGTGAGAATGCGGGTTTCAAAGGACATGCCTTCCAAGGTCCACATCATCCCTCAAAGCATTTTAAAAAAAATATGCTTTAAAAAATAAAATTATAAGGACTAATATCATAACTTAATACATATAAAAAATATCTCATCCTAAATAATAAATATTAATCTAATGTAATTTAACAATAGTGTATAAGTAGATTCATTAGATATAAAGATAAAAAAGTTAAGGAATACACCTTTTAGCTTTTATCACACATTGTCAAGAAACATAATCTAAAGACTCCAATATGCCTATATAAGTTAATCTCATCAAGCTCTTCAACTCATATAACTAATATATATTAAATTATTATGTTAGTCCATATAGTTTTATTTTTTTAAAAAAATTGTAAAACATATTTTTTTTAAAATGCTTTGAGGGATATGTGGACCTTGGAAGGTGTGTCCCTTGAAATATACATTCTCACGTGGTGTCATGTCAACATTTCTCATGTAATTCTGGTATTAATACCAACGGAGTGTATCGATACTGTCAAATCAGTATTGATACTAAGAGGCTTTAGAATTGGTACCATTCACATTTTTGGGGAAAAAGTGTTAACTTTGAGAGAAGGGTTCGGGAAGGTGTTTATGACCACCAATATATATTAAATTATTATGTTAGTCCATATAGTTTTATTTTAAAAAAAAAATTGTAAAACATATTTTTTTTAAAATGCTTTGAGGGATGTGTGGACCTTGGAAGGTGTGTCCCTTGAAATATACAATCTCACGTGGTGTCATGTCAACATTTCTCATGTAATTCTGGTATTAATACCAACGGAGTGTATCGATACTGTCAAATCAGTATTGATACTAAGAGGCTTTAGAATTGGTACCATTCACATTTTTGGGGAAAAAGTGTTAACTTTGAGAGAAGGGTTCGGGAAGGTGTTTATGACCACCAATATATATTAAATTATTATGTTAGTCCATATAGTTTTATTTTAAAAAAAAAAAATTGTAAAACATATTTTTTTTAAAATGCTTTGAGGGATGTGTGGACCTTGGAAGGTGTGTCCCTTGAAATATACAATCTCACGTGGTGTCATGTCAACATTTCTCATGTAATTCTGGTATTAATACCAACGGAGTGTATCGATACTGTCAAATCAGTATTGATACTAAGAGGCTTTAGAATTGGTACCATTCACATTTTTGGGGAAAAAGTGTTAACTTTGAGAGAAGGGTTCGGGAAGGTGTTTATGACCACCAATATTTCTCTAATAAACTTACAAGTGAGAATAACTAATAATTACATTAAAAGCATGAGAAAGCTTATGAAGTAAGTGTCATAAAACTAATCTTTGTGTGACGTTCGGGAAACAACAAGGGTACCCGAGTTACTCTAGCAAGTATGACGTTTGTCTTGTTTGTTTAGAATAGCTGGATATCTCAGTTAATGTCAGATCACTTCACTTGTTGGTTGGACGCAAATGCCCTAATTAATCACGAGGAGTAAGTTGGTCGGGTGTACGTTTTCGAAGCATATATTTTGTATCTGACCCTAGGTACCCGAGGGTACTATAGGTAGGATAGAGGGATGTGACACCATGATGCTTACCTCAGCATTTGTGTTTGGCGTACTTGTATACTTATGTCTTTATTTGCTAGCATGACCATTTGATGAACGCATGTAGTATAGTATAGTTATTAGCGTGACACTGAGCTTAGGAGGACCTTCAAGGAGCTTATCACACAACTTGCATTCCAGTTCATTCAAAGCAGTAGAGTACGTCTTGAGTCTATTTAGAGGGCATGTATTATTCGTAGACCTTCATGTATTTGAGTTGTAACTCTGTTTTTGAAATACTTGATATGTGTCATTTTGAGATGTATTGGGAACTCACCACTCTTGCAAACTTAAATATTTATATTTTCATGTATCATTAAAAGATGACATCTCAATGAGTATTACGATGTGATTTAAAAAAAATTTTGTGTTAGTCACTTCGATGATTTTATGTAATGCTTTATTCCTTTGATTTATGGATCAAATCGAATTAGGATGTTACATACGATTATCACATTCATTCCGTATGAAAAATTAATCAGATGAAACGCATTTAGAGGAAAAAAGCATAGCATGGACATATAATAAAGAATAATGAAGGAAAAAAGATTATGCCTGAAAAAAAAAATCAGTCCAAGCTTCCAATGAGATTTGGATGTGGAAAAAGAAATCACTTCATCTGCAAAGTGGATGTATTTGTACTATTAAACAAGCAGATTATGAATAAGTGTTGGGATTTGGATGTGGTTAAAACAAAATCATCTGATTACTCACTTGGAATAACCAATTAACCCCTTGGAATGATAAAACAGGGAACAGCATGATTGACAACTGAAGAGAAAAGGACCACCAACTGAAATTTGCAGGTGCAACGAATCTGATCTTCATGATAAGCTTGCTGTCTTTTCACATCCATCTGCCATTCAAAATCACATTCAGCTGAAAACAACATAAATCAATGAACCGTGCCATGTTCTTCCATAGCCATTCATTGCCAATGCAGCATCATCAAGATTCTCAGGCCAAAACTATATACATACATGTATATGTGTGTGTCACGTTGCATGTGAATCTTGATGATGCTACATTTGCAAACAACGACTGCTCTTCCATATTGTTTTCACGATCGGTATATGTGTGCGTTTATCAATTGATTAAGAACGTTCTGAACAAATACTATATTATAATCGCCCAGATCGTTAAAAAAACTTTTCTAAGGGATTTGGAACATCATCAATTCCTTGAATAAAAGCGGTTTGCAGCAGCCAAACTAACTGTGATATATAAAAGGCTGCATGGGATAGACTTAGTGATCTAGAAGAGAATTAAAATTACCCTAGCCAGAAAACCCTAATTCAATCAAACAAAACTGCTTACAATTAAACCTAAAAAACGCTTGCTTTTACTGCAAATTTACATACCAATTACAATTGAAGATCTTAAAGTGCATGATGGCTTTTGTGCATCTAGATCTAACTGATCTACTATACATCTACAAGCTTGAAAACCTGAAGATTATACATAAAAAAGAACACTACATCAATGGTCGGTGACTGTTGGGAAGAAGAAATAGTAAAGGAACAAATTCAGGAAAGAAAATACTAAATATATATGGGCAAAGGATTCTTGTTTTTGATAACAAAACTAATTATTTATGGGGTGAGAACTATGGCTATATAGCTTATTTTGTGTGCGTGTGAAAAGGAGAGAGAGAATATAAAGTTAGCCTATGAACGAATATTATACAATTTTATTTATTTAAAAATATTTATTTATTTTTATCGAGTTATAACTATTTTATACTATATAAACTTTACTATATTTCTTTTATTTTATTAATTTAGGGTGATTATAAAAGTAATATCT